TTTTCTTTTTTTTTCTTTTTTTTTTCTATATACCCAATTTAAAAACAAACAAAATATTTGAACACACATTTCACCAAAGAAGAAATACAGATGTGCTACCATTAGCCATTATGGAAATACAACTTCAAACCACAATGAAATGCTTATTAGAATGAATAAAATAGAAGTGCTAACAAGGATGTGGAGAAAGTAGAACTCTTTTTTCTTTTTTTTTCTTTTTTTTTTCTTTTTTTTTACACCCGGTGTGAGTTTAAACTGCCGGGTTCAGGACTCGAACTGCTGTCGACTACATGGGAGTCCAGCGACATAGCCATTATGCTAACTGCTGGTCCCGAAAGTAGAACTCTTGTATATTGCTGGTAGAAATGTAAATTGATAAAAATCACTTTGAAAAATAATTGCGCTGTCTTATAAAATTTAACATGCATTATCACATGACCCAGCAATTTCACTTATAAATATTTACTTAAGAAAAATAAAAACTTATGTTCACATAAAATATCTGTTCTGTGAATGTTTATAGTAGTCATGGCAACATTTATTCATAATCACAAAAAAATGTGGAAATAGCCTAAGTTCTCATCAGCTGGTGAATACATAAAGAATCTACAACACACTCAAGCAATAGAATACTACTCAGCAATAAAAAGAAGTAAAATAAGCCAGATCCAGACAGCTCTGCACTATTCACAGTATGAGTTGTTTAAATGACATCCTGAGGAAGGCAAAACTATAGGGCGAAGAACAGATCAATAGCTGCCAGGGCTTGGAATAGGGAACGAGTTGAATATGAAGATGCAGCAGGAGGGAAGTTTTAGAGTGATGGAACCTTGACTGTGATCGTGGCTACATGACTCTACGTATTTGTCAAAACTCAAAGCACTGTACACCAAAAAGAATAAATTTTATCATATATAATTTATACATATATAAATATATATGTACATTTTTAAATATCATGTATAGGGGCGAGCAGATGGCCTGGTGGTTAAGGCACTGGATTGATTCCCACATGGCTGACCACAGTTTGAGTCCTGAACCTAGTGACTTGAAAATCACAACAAATAGACAAATAAGTAAATGTTTTAAAAAAAATAATGTCTATCTTTTTTTTTGCATTATGTAGTAAGTGCAACATTATCGCAGAAATAAAACATATAATCATTTTCAAATTTTTAAAACTTGTGGGTTTTTAGAGAGTTTTTTTGCTATAGGGAGCATGCACTCACCAGAGAGAGAGAGAGAGAGACAGAGAGACAGAAAGCGAAAAATCACCCCCCAGGAAGAACGGCCACACCACAATCCCTTCTGCTCTATTCTCTCAGGATTTTGGGCATACACGCACATGCACCTGGTGTGAGTTTTAAGCCACCGGGTCCAGGACTCAAACCACAGTCAACTATGTGGGAGTTCAGCTACATAAACATTATGCCATCTGCTAGTCCTCACAAAACTTCTTTTAGGTATAAGTAGGGAGCTTGGGGGATAGAAAAGGAAGAGGCAAGTAAATTTACAAGCAGAAAAGAAGGCCTTGGTGGAAAGGTAAAGTAGATATGCAAGAAAGCAGGGGTAACTGACTGAACAAGGCTGTGAAAGAAATGGATGGGAATAGAATCAAGTGCAGAAGTGGTCAAGTTCTAAATACAGTGATCTCCTTTTATTGGCACTTTCAATTACTCTGCAGTCAACCACAGTCTGAAAATAGGTGAGTAAAGTGCAATAAGCTATTTGGAGAGAGACCACATTCATATAACTTTTATGACGGTACAGTGTTATTATTGTTTTATATTATTATTAGTTACTATTGTTAATCCTCTTTTAAGAATTATTTAATTTTTGCAATAGGGCACATGTGCTCGCTGGAGAGAGAGAGAAAATGAGAGAGATGTGGATAAGAAGGAGCTACTGTATCTTTCAAATCACAGATTAAGCATCATTACTGTGCAAAGTGTTTCCAGGTGCCCCAAACTGAAAATTACTTTTCCTCCTCTGATCCCTCTCATTACTTTTTACACACCCCTCTTATAAATCTTAGCATTTGCTACTATGTAGGATTGTTGCTAGTTTACATATGTTATCATCCCATTAACCCACTAAGTTATACATTACTTAAAGGCAGACTTTTGGGAGCGATTTACATGTATTTCCTTTACTATGCCCAGAATAAGGCCTTTTTATGGTAAAAACAAAAGGCTAAACCAAAATACTCTCAATATGGATGTTAAATGAGTAACTAAATAAGGCAGAGAACATTAGATGGTTTATTGACTGATTCTTGCATACAATATCCCTTGTATTAAAATCAACTATAATGTCTTTGACACAATGGCTCTTTGTTGCCAAATGTATTCCGTTTGGGATACATCTGAGTCTTGAACTCAAGTAACAAATACATGAAAAAATTGTCAAGGACATTGCTTCTCACATAAATGTATTAAAGCATTCACCTCAGGAAAGACCACCCATTCTGGTTCCCTTGAAAACAGTTACAGAAAAGGCAGATGACTCTATTCAAGGTGGTAAGGGGAAGGGGGGTGCATGACGTTCACTTTAAATAAGTCAAACATTCTGAACTACATATATTTGATGTGCAAACTTGTAATGTACAATCCTTTCAATGATCTTATCTTTTTCCCTGGAGATTAGGGGAAAACAAGCCACACATACATAAAAGATTATCAGTGTACTGAACATATCACTGAGCTGCATTGTTTATGGCATTGTACTCAGTCGCAGAGCATTATTAAAGCATCTGCTGCCTTTTTCTCATTAGTCAGTATATAATGTCTATGCAACTGAATTTACTCTGTAAAACTTTAATTCTAAATAGGCTCTCTTCCCTTATTGTGATACACTTCTAGCATCAAAGACATGGGAATTTTGTTACAAATAGGAATTTAAGTACCACATAACAATTAAGACATAACCCATCACCCTTTCCTTTAAAAGAAAACAAAGTGAAGGCTGGCAGGTAGCGTGGCGGTTAAGGCACTGGACCCCCACATAGCTGACTGGGGTTCGAGTCCCGGACCTGGAGGCTTGCTTTCCTACTTTCCCTTTTTTTCCCTGTCTCTCACAGGTCAAAGTAAACAAATAATAATGATGATAATAAATAAAATAATTCTTTTTGGAAAAAGAAAAGAAACGTGAAACAAAAGACTGCCCTTCAGAACCAGCCCTATAGCTTAGTGGCTAAGAGAGGGCCAGGGTAGCATGGTGGTTGGGGTGCTGGACTTCTACATGGCTGACCATGTTTCAAGTCCTGGACCTGGCAGCTTGCTTTTCTCACCTTCTCTCATTCTCTGGTGAGCACATGTGCCCTGTAGCAAATTAATAATAATAATAATAATAAATAATTATTTTTTAAAAAGAGAGAGAGAGCTGGCTCCCACATGGCTGACCAAATGTTTCAAGTCCCAACCCCAGTCTCAGCCACTTGAAAAACAAGCCAGGCACCTATGGATATATGCCCACAATCCTGACAGGATGGAGAGACTGAGAAGAGATTGCAGCATAACCACATAGCAATGGGGGAGGGTGCTTTCTCCTCTTTCTGCCTCTCTCTGGTGAGCATATGTATACTCAGGCAAAAATAAAAAATTGTCCTCCACAAGGGGAATTTATTTTTTGGTATAAATAAGTGAAACATGCTATATACCAAATTGTGCCCCTCTCCACAATTCCTATGTTGAATCCCCAACCCTCAATGTGATGCTATTTGAAGCAGGGGCCTAGGTTAGATAAGGTCATGAGGAGGGAGACCCCATGATGGGATTAGTGTGCCCTTAAAAAGAAGAGAT